CAAGTGTCCTCTTTTTGAAATAAATGCTACATTTCTGGAAACTGCACCCAAAATGTAATAATTAATAGAAAAAAATTACATTAATAAATAAATTCGTACGTTTACAATGTCCAATTCATTCTATTAGTAAAAAAGTAGTGACTACCTTCAAACTCTATAATCAGAATATTTGAAATGAAACTAAAGAATAGTAATTAGTAAAGTAATAAATCATATAGTTTAATTATTCTATATTGAATATATACATATATATATATGTCTGTATATATATGTGTGTGTGTGTACATTTTAATAGATCAACGTATTTAAGCAGATATACAATATATTTATAGTCAAAATTCTGGAGACTGTTGTAATACAAGAGAAGTACAATAAATTAAATATAGTATCTTTCTCCACAAAGCATTGTATATTGAAGTGAGTATAAAAGATGCTCAAAATCGTGGAGACTTTTGTAATATATATATATATATATATATGTTAACACGCACACACGCACATATATTTATTATGATTTGTTCATACAGATAAAAGCAAATTACTCACGAAAAAGATAAGATGCAACTTCGTTTCGGTGCATTTAGTTGCATCTCGACTGGTGAGAACCAAAATGGTTATGAACAATTTTGTTTGTAAGCAGGCCGCACGTGGAACATTACATCCTTTTTCGATTTGTCTATATGAAAAAATTATAATAAATTATAATAAATAATTATTGATCTACTATCGATATTGAGCCCTCTTTTGAAATAAAGCTGTGAACATTAGAATTTATATATTTTCATTCTCATTACATTCGGATATATATATATATATATATATATATATATATATATATATATATATATATATATATATATATAAAATGTATACAGTCATATACATATATATATTCATACTTATTTAACATATATATGCATACAGGCATACATATACACAAAGACACACACACAACATATATATATATATATATATATATATATATATATATATATATATATATATATATATGTATATATGTATGTATGTGTGCGTGTGTGTGCATGTGTGTGTGTGTGTGTAAACATTTCAGACAGAGTTTATCTGTAAAAAGACAATATGAATAAAGACAAAAGGAAAACTTAGTCAACGCGTTTCGTTCTCTAAAGATTTTGTTTCCTGACAAGTTTTTTATGTACAACAAATAACACTTTTGTTCTTGATGTAAATACCTGTCACAAACTTTGCCATGATAATCTTTCTCAGGGGACGAAATGCGTCGGTTAATATAACTTTTTTCTTTTGTCGTTTTATATATATATATATATATATATATATATATATATAAGGCTCAAACACTAATATTCCATGGTTATAATTCATTACATTGCAATCGGAATCACGGTCCAATTCAGGTCTGATGAATTGGATTGGATCGTGATTACGATTGCAATATAATAATTCTAGCAGCATGGCCTGGCGTTGCCCGTGCTTGATTCAAAAATCGTACAACTCATACAGCAATCGCTATCACTTGACTTAAAATATTTTGCCCTTCCTTGCCTTTAAAAGGAGTTGCCCTTTTGCCGTGCTGATGTTGCTACATGCCTTACTTCTTGCCTATCTCACACTGCGAATTTTTTCCAAGCTCTATACTAAACATTAAATCTGTTACGAAAAAAGAACTAAACAAAATGAACACAAAACGTTCAGATTTAAAAAAAGGACTCGAAACTGGAAAAACCGAATGAATAAATAATGTTAACAACAAATACTTTTTCACACCCAACCCAGTTTCCTGAAATATTGAGACTGGTCATACTACTTGGGCGGGGTTGTTGTTGCCTTTGTTTTGTTAACCCGGTACTTTGGAAACCATACATTGATCGGATTTGGGATGCGGCCTGGGAGAAAGAACAAAGTTTAAAGAAGAGGGAAATGGACTGCTGAAGACATGGTCAACACGGAGGTTTGTATCGATTTTTGAGTCACGACGGAGTCACATGGCATTTTATGCAAGGCACCTAAAACTGGGCCGCGTAGGAATTTCTGGTTGAATTGTAAAGAACGCCCGAAATTTTAGAATGTAATCCGCCCAAATACCGAAGTACCAGCCGATTTACCAATTTTTGAAAGCTTGAGTCCAAATTGAAAATCTGTCTCCGTTACGAATTGACGCCGTAAATGCCGGAAGTTGAATCGACATTTGACGTTAATTGCAGCCTGGACGTGAAAAGAAGTCAAAAACTACAGCTGATGGCAGGGTCGAACCGGAGCATTTTATCGATTTTTTGCTGCACGAAGGGGTCCCGCACGCATTTTTGAAAGGGCCCGTAATCTGGTCAGGGTCATTCATTTCTGTACATATGGTATGGTGATGTGAGGAGAAATAATTGATGCTTGTAACTATACATTAGTTGGCGATGTCTTCAATGCTTCACAGTAATGCGCTAAAGGGGATCAAGTGCTTATCCCAAGGATACATTTGTATCCATCAGATGCCGATGTACCCTTCATTTTCAGAAGATCCCCATTCCCATTTGCACCCTGTTTTGCTATGACAAGGCCCAAGAACAAACACTGTCTGTCACTGGTGTACACTATGAGGAGCGGTGCTTCTCATACGGCCAACTTTACGTAGCCTGCTCTCGAGTCAGCAGGCGCGATGATGTGTTCCTTTATTGTCGACTGCCGATTTGCACTCTGTTTGGGGGGCGCTCACAGTTGAAACTTTACATGGTGACCCC